GAGTGCTATCAGCTATACCACATGCCTGGAAGTTATTAATTGAGAATTCCAACCAGACTGAAATCCGTGGCAAAAATAATATTGAATATTCATATTTAATGAATAAAAAAAAATATTTATAAGTGCATTGTAAAATGTTTCTCGGAAAAACCTTGTAAAATCAAATCTCAATGGGAACGCCTCCTAAATATTCCAGATATTCATTGGGAAATGGTCTGGTTAAGAAAGGTAAAAAACAGTGTTGAGAAAAAACTTGCAAATTTTAATTACAAATTAATGCATTGTACAATAACCACACGTTCACGTCTTTTTAAATGGAAACTCTCCGACAATGACTGCTGCTTATTTTGTAATCCGAATATTAAAGAAGATGATTATCATCTCTTTTGGGGTAGTGTAAATGCAAAATATGTCTGGAATGAAATAGACAGAATGATTAAACCAGAGTTTGGATATACTGCAACTTTTAATGAGATTGTGCTAGGTACTGATAACAATTATGTTAACTATATTTACACAGTTGCTTGTTTTTGCCTATACAAAGCTGCCGTTATCAAAGCAGCAGTGGGTAAAATAAAATCATTAAAAGCACTGCTCGATTCTGAATTGTATGTGAAAATGACACTATTTAGAAAACTGTTAATCATCAAAAAATAACAATGTCCGACGTACCACATTACCATAAGAATGATGTCATTATTAATTAAGACAAGTAGCGTACGTAAAAAAATCATCTTTATACATTTAACATATTTATATATTTATTTACGCAATAAATGTTCAGAAACATGTCGTAAAAAATCATCTTTATACATTTAACATATTTATATATCTATTTACGCAATAAATGTTCAGAAACATGTACTCTTCTTTCATAGGTAACAGCAATACTTAGAATACTTGTATTGTGTTGATGAATGTAAATGTATATACAAAATGAATGAATTAAAAAAAATGTGTAAAAAAAATAACTTTAAAAAAAATTATACTGGAAATACGAATAATGTATTGAATGGGCAACAATGATTTTCCTAGTTTGCACTTTTTTGTTTTCTTAATTATTTTATTTTTATATTTTTTTTTTATATATACAAAATAGAAAGAGGTGTATTATATTGATGCATATGTGTATGTGTGCATATGTATGTATGTGCATGGATGTATACGGATATAGATATATATGATGAGTGTGAAATGTATATGTATGTGAGTGTATTCCATACAAAAAGAAATAACATAAAGAGAAAGAAATAAAGGAGAATGAAATTCCCATGAAAGGTAAAGGGTGGATTTAAAAAGAAATTAATATTATGTATATGTGCAGTGTATATGTATAATATAAATATGTTTTTTTTCTTTAATGTACGATGTTAATAATGTTAATTACATCTTGGTAAAAAATATTTAGAAATTATTACAAGTGGAAGGATGTTAAAAAGAAAAAAAGGAAGATATTCAGCAATTGTGGACTGACCCCTCCTAAGTGCAATTGTTTTTATTTTGTATATTCATTTTCTTTTAAATATGTATTAGAAGCAGAAAATAAAAAGAAAAGTAACAAAAAGAGAAAGAAATAAAAGTGGGTTAAACTCCTACGAAAGAGAGAGAGAGAAAAAAATAATTAATTCAATTTATTCATCATCAAAGAAAAGTTTGAAAAAAATAAAAATTAAAAGGAAGAGATACTAATGTGTTCTCGACAGGGCAAGGCAATATTATTGCGAAATATATAAATGAATAATAAAAGCATATAAATTAAACGATTAAAAATGTACAATTAAGAACAAAAGTAAAAAAAGTTATAATTGATACATTACTAAATAATTTCTTTTCATCTGTTTTCTAAATAATTTAACATTTATGCATGTTTTACTTTTATCATCAATAGTATTCCATAATTTGGGTCCGTAGACAGTTATAAAAAAATTGACTTTTACTGAGTCTAACATAAGAAAGATGGAGTAAGCTTTTATTCTTTAAATTGTAGCCATGAATACTTAGGAAATTTGAAAAATTGCAAGGGAGGAAGTTGAGAGTTGACATTAACATATTAAAACATCAAAGAAGAGACTTGTACTCACACTCTGTGTTTAAAAATATTTAATTTTTTTAAAGAGGTTCACATGGAGATACAAAAGACCCCCCAATTTTGGCAAAAATATATGTCTGGAGATTTTTGTATGATCGCAAAGAAATGCAGGAAAAGAAAGGAGGTAGAAGGAGGAGATGGATGAGTAAGAGAATGTTTATCCAGTCCGGCCGACCGAGTTAAATTTTCTCGCAATTCACATTGGCGGATCTGACCCCTCCCTTGGGCAACAAAAAAAAAAAGAAACAAAAAAGAATTCTAGACCTATTTTTTCAGGACCCGTGAGCTGTTTTTTTTTTTTTTTTTTTTTTTTTTTTTTCAGGACCCGTGAGCTGATTTTTTTTTTTTTTTTTTGTTGTAATAAGAAAATTAGAATTTTGAAGAATATCAAAGTCATTAAAACACACTTCAAATGTCGGGAAAGCATATTTCTCCCATCTATGAACCAACGTTTTCCCGGGGGAGAACCCCGGACCACTCTTTCTTTTTGGGATTTATCAATTCATGGAAAAAAGAATACGCATGCAACTACTCATTTGTTTATATATGTATACACACATAAAAAAAAAATGAGAAAAATTTACCTGACCGTTTTCAATAGAGAAAAACCTTGTATTTAAAAAGTCATTTAAATGACATTTTAGAAGTCAGAAAATCTCATTTCTCGCCATCTAGAAATTGAAATTTTTCCGGGGAAAACTGGACCCCCTTTTTCTTTGTGGTTCATTGATTCATTGAATCATTTTCAACAGGGGGAAAAGCTTGAATTTTGAAGAAATTAAAAGTCAAAAAGACACCTCAGACGTCGGAAAAGCTCATTTCCCGCCACCTAGGAATCAAAATTTTTCTGGGGAAGAACCACAGAACCCTCCTTTCTTTTTTGGATTCATCGATTCATGTCAAAAGACTACGTATGCAATTACTCATTTTGTATGTACCCTCGGATCCCTTTTCTTTTTGGGATTTATCATTTCATAGGGGAAAAAATCGTATGCAGCTACTTATGTCTTTATTTTTATGTATGTATACACACATAAGGCCTATTTACTGTAACAACAATGAAGAAAAATTAACTAACCGTTTTCAAGAGGGGGAAACCTTGAATTTTGAAGAACTTAAAAGTAATAAAGACACCTGAGAAGTTGGAAAAGCTCATTTCCCGCCATCTTGGAATCAATTTTTTTCGTTTTTGGGAAAAAAGTTGACCCCACCCGTTAGCTTTGATTCTAGATCTGCATGATTCATATCCACATTCATCTTATAAGTGCCCACCCCACCCCACCCCCTACTTTGAAAAACGTTCCGCCGGCCCTGAAGCTAAAATGATTATTCTGACAACATGTTTTGAAGCTTAAGTATTCTGTCCAGATTTGAGGGGTTATAACTGCACCACACGAGGTTACAGTATTGTACATAAGGTAATATAAGTGTATTATATAAATTTAAAAAAGACTTCAATCTATTTATTATTCCTACAAATTTTGATATTTTATTTGAAACATAGTTTTGTAGAGATTTCCCAATTTAAATTTTTATGTATATATATTCCTAAGAATAAGGTTTCCGATTCACGTTGAATAATTTGTTCATTTACAGCGATATTATGATTAGATAAGTTAACTTTCTTTTGTTGTAGATGAAAATAACATTATAATTTGTTTTTTGAATGTTAATTAAAAGCTTATTTGCATTGAACCAAGAACCTATTCTTTGTCACTTACTATTAATCGTAGTAAATAAAACATCGAGAATAATCATGAGAGTAAAAGAATGTTGTATCGTCGGCGTAGGATTTAACTTGCAGCGTGTCACTGATACGAGTTAAGTCATTAACGTATATTAAAAAAAGTAGTTGACCCAATACAGATCCTTGAGCCACCCCGCAAGTGACATCCCTCGTCGACAATCTTTCTGATCCTATTGAAACAAATTGTTTACGTTCGTACAGGTAACTTTTAAACCAACATATTATTATTATTATTATTATTATTTTATTATTAATATTTTTGCATCCTATTTTTTAAATTTAAAAAAAATGTTTAATATATATGCACAAATAACAAAAAAAAAAAAAAACTAATGATAAACGGATTCGTAACTATTTTAGAAAGGCATATTCGGTCTCAGCAGCTGTTTTAATCTAATAAAGAAAATTGGTGGTACATAAGTTTAACAATTTCAATGGCGGGTAAGGGAATTCGAATTAGAGCGCCCAAAGATGGATTTTCACAGGTGAAGCGTAAAGACCACACCGGCCCCTTCCCCCACCATGGTTGGGACTGAGAAAAGAAAATTAATGATTATAGAAACTCTAATGGCCGGAAATAGCACTCTCAGACCCTGTCTCTTATACACATCTAGATGTGTATAAGAGACAGGTGTATATGTATAATATAAATATGTTTTTTTTCTTTAATGTACGATGTTAATAATGTTAATTACATCTTGGTAAAAAATATTTAGAAATTATTACAAGTGGAAGGATGTTAAAAAGAAAAAAAGGAAGATATTCAGCAATTGTGGACTGACCCCTCCTAAGTGCAATTGTTTTTATTTTGTATATTCATTTTCTTTTAAATATGTATTAGAAGCAGAAAATAAAAAGAAAAGTAACAAAAAGAGAAAGAAATAAAAGTGGGTTAAACTCCTACGAAAGAGAGAGAGAGAAAAAAATTTTTAAATGTCCTGTAAATCGGTGAAAAACCAACATTTTGTTTGGGTGTCTCTTTTTATGTTTTCTCATTGTCATTTCAATAGTTTAAATATATGTTGAGGTTTTTTAGATTAATAATAAGGCTTTAAAAGTACTTTTGTGTACTTCTAAAAATCTTCTATCTTTATAATAATTATCATTACTCTTCTTTTCTGTCCTTCATTTAATAACCTGCTTTATATATTTATATTTTTCTAGATGGCTCGAGATGTGTCTGAGATGTTCCACACAAGAGATATTATTTTCTGGAGGGCCTGCCAACACAAGGTTAAGAACATCATTGCATCAATGTAAGTTTACTGATTATAAACGTATTACCCAATAACAACACTCCATGGAGTTTTCAATTTTGTTTCGTTATTAGTCATTGTTTTTTTTTTTTAATTTTGTAATTTCGATTTGAGAATACTATATTACAGCAATGAAGTTAATATGTATCAAATCTATAGCTTGATGTGATCATTGCTTACGAAACTTAAATTCCCGTTTTGTAATTGAAAATGAAATCATAAGATTATTTGATGTGAAAGCCACATCTTTCCCCGACTATTTTCCATGATATTCGTTTACCCCTTTTAATTTCCGCTTGAATGTTTGCCTTCTGTGTGCCCCTGAAATACATTTCCTGAATACTTCTCCATCCTTTAAATATAAAAATTAAATTTAATCGTGGGGAAGTGTATTGATGGGTTAAGGTGTGTATTGCTTGAGGTAGTGAGAATGAATGCAAATTTTTGTAGAAACAGTTTTGGATTGGCAAATACCAGCCTCATTCGTTTTATCAACTTAAATTATATATTTACCATTTTGAAATTACCTCTTAATCTTCTTGCATAACGTATCAACATGACCAGACTTCGTGTGTACATTTTGGCTATCAAGTATCAGAATGCCTAGAACAAATTTAAAGTGTTTGACCAATCTAAATACATTTTACCTTTATTTTAATTGGCAGCTAGTTGGTATGTGTGAAGCGTCTAGTGTTTGAAAGAGCGCATTATATTCACCAAACATTGAAAAGTTAGATCTCAACCAATCACAGAAGGCAATGATGCATATTTAATTTTCTTAGCTTTTGGAAGGGTCTACCAAGTTTTTTTTGTTGTTTTTTTTTTTGGTCGAAGTACAATTAATAAAAGAAGAATGCATTGTTTTTCATCGTTTTAAGAATATGACCATGACCTAGTTGTGGTAATAATATAAATTTTATACTGTAATATTATTATATTATTATTATTATTAACTATTTTTATAACTAAGGCAACAAACAACATAAAACACTATGCTAACTTTACATTAAGTATACTCACTAATATCTATAGGAGTGCACTACGGTACCTTATAATTTAAAGGAAAATGCACATAATATATATGGGCGTGAATACGCGTATTTAGAAGTTGGGTATTTATTTTTTGTTTGTAAAGTAAACTGATTATTTATATTGTACAAGCTCACTAATATTGGTGTTGTTTGTAAATGTTGGTAAATAATAAGTTATAAAAATAACATTAAAAGTTTCTTCTATTTGTTTTGTTTATTTAATGTTATTTGGACATATATTCGACTTTAAACCCGTAAAATTGACTTTAATTTGTTATATTTCATTAGACCTCAAGTCTAACGCATGCATATTACTGGCAAAACTGGATATAATCCATACGATCAGATGTTTCATGTTTCATTGGCTTTTGTTTAAATTTGAAAAAGCGCATAATGTCCAATTAGAATAGATAATAGAAAAATATATCAACAAAGTGTTTTAGTATGTTCTTAAATTGTGTCGATAGTACATTTACACTCAAATATCAATAGAATAATTTTTATAACAAAAGGCTGACAAGAAAACGCGTTTTGCTCAATATCTTAAAAGTATGACTTTGGCTTATAATGCGTTATTCCGAATCACAGCAATTAACTGCTTCAAATACAAGAGAGGCATGAATGGGACGTGTGAGCATGGCGAGATTTTTTTGAAATTTAATCACCGCATCAATTGTGTTTATTTACAAAAGAAACACTCTTGTTTGCAATATTCCAGATTGTCTAGCCTACTGTTTAAAGTAGCACTTAAAAGAGGCTTGGCACCATTTTTTTGCATATTCAAAATAACTTGCATATGAACGAGACATGATGGTGGCCACGGTGTGATTTCTGAAATGTTATCTTATATGTGTTTATAAAAGAAAAATCATTGCTTGCAATTTTTTTTATCATCTATAGCCTACTGTTTAAAGTAGCCCTTCAAGTAAAGAAGAGGCGTGGCCACCATTTTTGTGCATATCTATGCAAATCTGCATATGAAATGGACATGTGACCACAGTGTGATTTCTAAAATATTATCCCCTCGTTGTATTATGTGTTCATTTATAAAGAAAAACCCTTGTTTGCAATATGTTCAGATGGCCCAGCCTACCGTTTAAAGTAGTGCTTTTCATTAAAAGTATATGTATAGTATATGTAAACTAATAATATGCATATGAACAGGACATGTGACCTCAGTGTAATTTCTGAAATGTTATCCCCTCAACATGTGTTCATTTAAGAAAAACCCTAGCCTACTCTTAAGTTGTGCTTAAAACATAAAAGGGCGTAACCACTTTTTTTTGCATGTTTAAGCTAATTTGCATATGAACAGGATATCTGACCAAAGTGTGATTTCTACAATTTTTGTTGTTTTTATTTATACAAGCAAAACCTTTATTTGCAAAATATTCAGATGGCCTAGCCTATAGCTAAATGTAGTGTCTAATATAGAAATAAAAAGTGTGTGGCCCTAATTTTTTGCATAATTAAGATAACTTGCCTATGAACAGGAAATGTGACCACAGTGTGATAAAATTGCATTTTAAAATTGTATCCTCTCATCATATGTGTTCATTAAATTAGGAAAAAAAACCCTTGTTTACAATATGTTTAGTTTGTCTAGATGCCCCGTTCCTCAACCCTTTCAGCCCGTGACCCAAATCCAAGTATTAACACTCAGCCGCAACGCGTCGGCCTCAGGCTTGGCAAATTAATAAAATTATGATTATTATTGCGGTCAGGTTTGTTTGCTTTTAGTCACTACCTTGAGTTAATTGCTTCCTTAATTTATTTAATTTTGTCTTAATTTAAAGAAAGATGTCATTTAATAGTAAAAAGTATACTAGTTATACCTTGTTATTTTGCTTCGATATTCTGGATTCGATGACGTAATTTACATTTTGACTGCGTGCGGGAGATACTTGTTTTCACACTTAATCAGGCCATTTAGCTTTTTTTTCTGTAGTGTTATTTTATACAAGTGTTTGAAAACACTTTTACACAGAAAGATTACATTAACACACCAAGTATTATTTATAGCTTTATTTGAAAATGAATATAAATCCAATATTTATCGGAACAAAAAGCAATTCTACTCACGATTATATTTTGAAGAACACTAAAGTAAGCAACTCTGTACCATCTTTAGATTCAAAATAACTTTCTCTGCGAATTAAAATTTCAAAATAAGTGTACATTGTACAATGATGTGTCACACCAAAATGATCATCAAATTTAATCAGCCCATTAGTGCGATGGCTTACTTCTCGACAGTTAATCAATCTGGTTTTAGCCCGGCGATAATAAAATCTTTAACATGGATATAAATAATATATATGAACCACATACATTATTCTCGCGACGATCAGCATATAAGCCGAAACCCGAGTATGAGAAGACATATTTTAGTAGTAAATTCGAGTGTTACGGACGATTCCACATAAGATTAAGACGAACATGATTTTAAAATTCCAAAAAAAAAAATGTGTATATTGTGCGTATAAGACGATCCCACCTTTTTTCGATCGTAATTTGCTATAAATTAAGCTTCGTCTTTTACGCAAAAATACGGAACGATTCAAATCCAGCCTCACACATCACATTGTCGTCGAGAAATGAATTAGAAACATTATTGCAGCATGGCTAATGTCTTGATATTTTTTTATTCAACTTTTATCCAAAACTTTACCAATGGCATAAATTAATCAGAACAGAACAGTAATGTATTTGCACGATAAATGTCAAGCCCACTCACATGCATCAGGGCTTGGTTGTTGGTGTTCTTTTGTCCTGAAGCGATTGACGATCCTTCAAAAATTCTTCACGACTCAAACTCCCCATAGGTTGCGGAGTGGAGGTCTAGCCTACCGTTAATGTAACACTTTCAATAAAAACGTGGTGTGTCCCTTATCTTGCATACTTTAGCAAATTTTCATATGAAGGGGACTTGTGATTAAAGTGAGATTTCTGAAATTTGATTCCCTCATAATGTGTTCTTTTATAACAGAAAAAATCTTTTTTGCAATATGTTCATATTGTCTAGCCTACTGTTTAAAGTAGCACCTTCAATGAAAAATTGGGTGTGATCATTTTCGGGCTGTCCGTCCCAAATACAGATTGGGACGGACAGTTGGTTGGAATGCGAGCTATAATTTGGTAAATCACTTAGAAGTGTTTCAAAATTAAATTTCCAAACACTTATCAGTTTGGTTTGGTAAGGCTCCAATGGATAGTGAGAATAAAACCTGGAAGTTTTTCAAAGTAAGGTACGGTAAATTAAAAAATATATACTTAATGTATATATTACAAATTTTAGCATACAAATTTAATGCACAAAATTCACAAACATCAAAATATCTTTATTCAATTGCTGTACACTGAAATAATATATGCGATATATATATATATATATGCAGGATATGCAAATACACAGATGCCGGGGTTAGAGGTCGTTACCGTTGATCGGTCTCTCGAACAGACGGCGGCCGTCACTGCAA